TTCTGACAGAGAAGTATTTTATGCACACCATCTTCTTTCATACAGTCAGTTTTAAAAATATACACCTTACACTGCCTATACATAGGTTTCTCATGTAAATGTAGTGTACACACTGGAATTCTTATGCTGTAACCTCAGTCTTCCTTTTAATAAATAGTACTAATTAAGACTCTGAGAGGCTTGTTCTTTGGATTAATTATTTCTAATTCAGATTGCTAGGATGAGTACCTGATATTCCCAATCATGAAACATGTCCTCCTGGAACAGGCACATTTTGGATCCGTGTCCAGACAAAATAGGTGTGATCTGGTCTGGACACAGACCACCCAAAACTAGCTGTACTATGCACGGAATGCTTCACGCATGGAACAGTTTGAATACTCCTATAACCTACCAAGGTAGGATATGGATTGCTTATAAGATTCTGTACAAATATCTTGAATATATGAAATTGAGTTAGGTAAACTAATGTGAGAGGCAGTTCATATGCAGACACAAGCAAACAGTCTGATACCATAGCAGCTTGTTACCAAATCAAGATACAGGTGGAAGCCATCTCTTCTACCTACAAAAAAGTAGCTATTAGCCTGTTACACTGTGTAGGTAGGAGAAAGATTTAAACTTTGATTTCACTATAAATAGACTTCTATCTGATGTACAGTGGTTGCTGGAATTCTTTTGTAATGATTTCATTAGTTTTTCTACAATAAATCTACTGATTAGAGTTTTTGTACCCATGGAAGTCTATTGTTGCAATTTGTTGCCTGGCCAGGCAAGACAAGTCTGACTTCTAAGGATAATACATGAAAAATCTAAGCAAAGGAGCAATTTAGCCTAGCTAAATCCAAAGAGTACTACACTTAATTGCATGCACTAAGAAATATTTCGAATTATACTTTTCTCTCATGACAGAGTATGAAAAGTAATGTGGTATGGAAAAAATCTAATACTCAAAGGAAGAGGAACATCAATATTGCTATGGAACCTGTCTACTAGTTCCTATGTCATAATGTTCTAAAAAGGAATAACCATAATGTTTGATTAATCCATGATAGATATTGTAAATATGGAATTACTTTTACATAAACAAGTTTATACCTTCTTTTAACAATAAACTATAACACTACTATAATGTACCAGTAAATTGTGATGAACAGATTGGGAAGATGAATGGTAGCATGAATAAACAACTATAAACTTGGTCCAAAAATATAAATTGACCACTTATTCTTCTCCCAAGATCCCTATCCTATCCAGGATGGTATGAACAATATTTGAGTGGACTGAGCTATTCACAGGTACAACTCTAAGTAGCCTTTTAGAATATCAGATTCTAAAGAATACCCCTTGTAGTTTTCAAAAGCCATGGACTTAATTCCCCACCTTTCCTAAAGTCTTATGGAAAGATGTAGCAATGCCACCAACCACAAGGGTTTAACAAATGATGGATAAGGCTATCAAAAGCTACTAGTCACAAAGACTGTAAGTTGACTCCAGAATCTGAAGCCATATGATTCTAAATGTTATTAGATCAGGGATACAAGGAAGATGCCATTTCACATACTGTACCTCACTGTGTGCTTTCCAATAGCACCTAAACAACCTCCATGAAACAGAATGATTGACTATATGGATGTTATATCTGATTCAGTTTGGTTTTTCTTATGTTTTAGGAATGCTTGTATGCCTGTCCCAAATTCAGCCTTCAAGATTTATTTGTCCATTTATTTTTCATGGACATAATACGCTGGGTTTTATCTACCTATGCTGGTGAAATAAAAACCTTTAAAACATTTTCTGACAGAGAAGTATTTTATGCACACCATCTTCTTTCATACAGTCAGTTTTAAAAATATTTCAGATCTGTCTTTGTTTGAGAAAGGGTGGCAAAGAAAAAAAAAACTTCAGTTCTGTAATTACATTATCCTTCCTCCCCATATAACTCCAACAAAATCTGGTCAAAACCCTCAAGTTTTTAAAATGAATTATCTAATCCTCCTTTTCCCTATCTTTTTTTACAGAAAACAGGACAAGAAATTAAGCCACAAAGCACTGCAGA